AAATAGAATATTTTTAAATGTATCATATGATATTGGAAATACAATTTGAGATCACTGAGGTCAACTAGGCTTTACTTTTCTTCAAACTTGATTTTGTTTTTAATTGTATCTAGGACTATTCAGAAATTCTTCACATTTGAGTGTCCCATCCACAGAACTGTTCTTGTGGGGAATGAAATGCACAGACAGGCTCCCAGGGAGTTCAGTTGGTCACTGCGGGTGACCAAACTGACCTGCCAACTCTGACCATGCTCCATGGCCCTAGAACACTCTCACCATTGCTAGTCTCCTGAACTTTTAAACACCAAGGTTTTCAGAATGTCTATGTTCCATGTGTGAATGTTGCAGGGAACAAAGGTTAGGAATCAGGGATTCTAGCTAGAAGTTGTTTTTGACAGGTGTGCTGAGAACAGCTTGAATGAGCAACAGAATGGTGGGTTTCTCACAGCGGGAAAGCCTTGGAAGTGTTTGCATTCACCCTGAGCACATCACGTGTGGTGCTAGAAAGGCCCTTGAGGGTGAGGGGACAGTCATGAAAGGGTTACAGCTGGCACAAGAACTTAGATTGTCATTTTTAAAGGGTCTCAAATAGCTCTCAAATGTCACAATACGTTCACGTTTTGTTGTTCTGTCATGTCTCCTTTCTTTCTAGAAAACGGGGGAGAGGGGTTTTCGGGTCCAGATGCTATGCACTGACCAGCAGCTTTCTGAAGAAAAACTTCACACAGCTTTCAGGGGCAGCCCAAAGGTACCAATGGCTTCCTAACCTAAGACATTCTAATTGACCCCATTGTCGTGTAAACACAATTTCGTTTTCATGAATGTAGTGGGTGGACCCAAGTACCAGAAACAGCAGGTTGTCTCATTGAAAACAGCCTTGGAATGAGGCCTCTCAGAGAGGCAGAGTCCTCCCTAAGTGATTAGAGAGGGCCTTACTCATGCTTGCATGGCTATGGCTTCCAGGACCAAGAACCAAGAAGTTTGTTCTAGTTCTTTCCTCTGCATGCGCGGGAGCTCACATGCACATTAGTTATAACATCGACATCACGTGTCATTTTAAAATTTCAGGTGTGTTTACCCTTTTCCAGAAAATCCATTAAATATTCCACAGACCATCATTAGGGTTTTCCTGGGCAGTTGATGGTAGGAGTTGGGCTGTTGTATTCGAACCAGCTGATGTTGGCCAAAACACCCGGTGGATGGGAAAGATAAGTTAAGAAGGACACACGTGAATTTGGACAGAAGTTTTTCTTGACTTAGCGCTTGTTTGAGACTGGGACTTGACTCTGGGGCTCAGTACCCCTCCAGCCTCAGCTCTGAGGAGCTGGGCTGCATTGTCTCTTCATCTTTTCATGAAATTTAAAAGCAGTTTTAAGAGCTGGCAACTTCACACCTCTTTATAACTATTGGTGTCTATCTTATCTTTCAGCAAAGCCACAGTTACTTTTGGGAACAATGAGCAAGGGAAAGAAACAGCGAGATCCTAGACTACCACCAGGCGGCAGAGGAAGAAAAGCAGCCCCAAGCTCGCTGTCAGGTGCGGAGAAACGCACGGTGGTATTTAGGGTGGCCGTCACTCTCCCGTGGCTCTGAGGTCAGCGGGGAGGTCCCGTCGATCCGTACGCCCATCAGGCTGTGTGGTTGAGCCTCTGCACCCCCGAGAAGCGTGGTTCGAATTTCCGGAGACGCCCGATGGCTGCCCTGGCTCGGGACGGGCGGAGGACCCCGACTGCTGGCCCGGACTTCCCGACCCCGGGTTCACCCCTGGTCCCGCGGCCGAGGCGCCCAGGCTAAACCCTGTGGACTCGGGCCGCCGTCTGCGGTGGCTTTGGGCGGCACGCTTCGCGCGCGTCGGGGCCAAATCCTCATCTTCGTTTCGCTCCAGGCTCAGAGGACTAAGTAGGCTCCAAAGCGCACAAACAGGAAGGAGGGAGGGCCGGGAGAGCGGGCAGAGGGCGGGTCGTTCCCAGCAGCGCGGGCGGTCCCTCCCCGCTCGGGTCCCCGACCCTCGGGGCCGGGGCGGGGCGTGCGCGTCAGCTGGGGCTAGAAAAGGCGGCGGCCGGGTCCGGCGAGGTGACAGCCCAATTCGGACGCCTTACTGGGCCGACGCCGCCATGAGCGCCGCGCTTTTCAGCCTGGACAGCCCCGCGCGCGGCGCACTCTGGCCCACGGAGCCCGCGGCCTTCTACGAGCCAGGCAGAGCGGGCAAGCCGGGCCGCGGGCCCGAGCCGGGGGACCTGGGAGAGCAAGGCTCCACCGCCCCTGCCATGTACGACGACGAGAGCGCCATCGACTTCAGCGCCTACATTGACTCCATGGCCGCCGTGCCCACCCTGGAATTGTGCCACGACGAGCTCTTCGCCGACCTCTTCAACAGCAACCACAAAGCGGCCGGCACGGGCGGCCTGGAGATGCTGCCCGGTGGCCCCACGCGACCCCCAGGCTCCAGTTCAGTCGTCCGGGGCCCGCTCAAGCGCGAACCCGACTGGGGCGACAGCGACGCGCCGGGCTCCCTGCTGCCCGCGCAAGTGGCCGTGTGCGCGCAGACCGTGGTGAGCCTGGCGGCCGCGGCGCAGCCCACACCGCCCACGTCGCCCGAGCCCCCTCGAGGAAGCCCAGGGCCGAGTCTCGCGCCCGGCCCCGTCCGAGAGAAGGGCGCGGGCAAGAGGGGTCCGGACCGCGGCAGCCCCGAGTACCGGCAGCGGCGCGAGCGCAACAACATCGCGGTGCGCAAGAGCCGCGACAAGGCCAAGCGGCGCAACCAGGAGATGCAGCAGAAGCTCGTGGAGCTGTCGGCCGAGAACGAGAAGCTGCACCAGCGCGTGGAGCAGCTCACGCGGGACCTGGCCGGTCTCCGGCAGTTCTTCAAACAGCTGCCCAGCCCGCCTTTCCTGCCGCCCACCGGCGCCGACTGCCGGTAACGCGCGGCGTGGGCCTCAGAGACTCCAAACGACCGATACCTCAAACCCCGACGGCCGGCCCGGAGCAGACGCCGCCAGAGCCGCTGCAGTTTCTTCGGGATGTGCGAGCGACCGACCGGAAGCTGCAGCTTGGACACTGGACTGCGAGAGAAGCTATGAGTCCCCCCACCCTTAAATTATTTTTATAATGGTAGCGTTTTCTACGTCTTATTACCATTGCAGCTAAGGTACATTTGTAAAAAGAAGACTTTCTGACAGACTTGTAGATAAGTGGAAGAGACTGCGCATGCTTTTTATATCAATTTTTACAATATTTGTAAGAATAAAGAAGCATTTTAATCGCTGCAGCTTCCTATATTCAGTCTCTCCCGCACACCGTGTGCTGGGATCTCAACAGGGAAAAGCAGGCATCTGGGAGCCACGGCACCAGGTGTGCCCACACGGGGTAAGGAGATGGATGAGCTGGCCTCATGCTCAGTACAGGAACATGGGAAAGCATGGCTACTCCGTGTTAGGGGGAAGGAGTGAAGCGATCCCAGCGCGTGCAGACCTGGGTTGGGGCTGGCAGAGAACAGCTGACGGGTGAGAGGGTGGGAGAGCCTGAGGGTCAGAAACCCGGTTTGTCGCACTTGTGTGGCTTTGCTTTCACTTTCCTCGATGCTAGGGACATCGTGCAGATTTCAAAGTGTGCACCAGGGCAAATTCACGTTGTAGTACATAAAAAGGACAGTCCCCAACGCCATTAATTGTAATGTTTGAGGGCTTAAAATACTTGTGTGTCTTTCTTCTAAGGAAGCTGTGAGTTAGGATCACGGCCTGATGTTACTATGCCGTTGTACAGAAGAAAGCAATGCTCAGGGTCCAAATATGTAGCTTCTGGTAAGTTAAATCCTGCCCAAAGCACAGGCTCACTGTGTGTGACAGGTGTGTGGTGGAACGAGCTACAGAACCCTGTTTAACACAGCTCTCAACATAGCAGTACATCGACACTGTATGGATGACAGTGATGACAGTGTCATCTCTGGCAGTCCCCAGAGTACTAAAACCACAAAGAGCATGCATTGAACATTTATTTATTATGGCAGGGCAGCAATATCTCAATATGAGACACTGGTTGAAGCTTTACGGAATAGTCTTCAGAGAACATTAATACCACAAAGAAAAAAAATGTGTAACTATTGGTAAAGTCTTAAATACTTCAAAGTTACAGCAAAAAGTATTTCCTTAGTAATGCAACATGAAGACCACTCAAGCTTTAGAAACATGTCCTTAAAACTTACATTAAGGTTATTTTAAAAGTGTAATAAAGGTATTTTGATTTTTAATTTACAAAATCATCTTATTAACCTATTTGCCAGAAAAAAAAGAAACCCATTAAATTCAAAACCATAAAAATACTCTGTGGAGTTAATACAGTTCCCCAAATCAAGCCCCCTCCCTCTGTGCAAAGTTCCCGGATGTCAGGAAGCGAGTTGGTCGGCTCCTCCTGCGCCCAGAAACTCAATCTCCTCCAGGGTGACGCAGCTGCTCTGCTGTGGGGTGATGGACTGCACAAAGCAGAGCAAAGGCCCCATCTCCTTCCCAAGGACAGTCTTCACTGGAGACCTCTGCAGTGGTACAAGCATGCCAGTCAGAGCACAGTCCTAGACTCCTGCATTCTGTCCCCAACAATGCTGCAGCCAGGGCAAAGGCCCTTCTGTAAGCTGCAACCTTCCTCCGATGGAAAAGTTTTTTGGGGTGGCTGGGTGAAGGTGTACTATAAAAGCCCCCTTCATTGGAGCAAACAGACGAACTACTTTATGTACTCTCATAGTTGAGCCTTCTGTTCTGTCTGCCAGGATAAAGTGGCCTAGGACAGGATTTGGAGACAATGTGCAGAGGAAATGCTGGCCTTTCCAAGGGGGCTGAGCTTTTGGCTTGCATACCTCCCACTTCCTTTGGGGACACTTCCCCAATCTAGCAACACTTCTGGTCAAAGGATTTCCTGGTACTTGCCCCAAACTTCCCTCTTCAACTGGATTCTATTTCTTCTTGAGTTTCACAGGGTTAACATTTCTCTCTGTGCAGAGGTAATGTGACTTGAGTTTTTATTCACAAAGTTAATCTTGGGAAAATTTCATCTCTAGACAGAAACAGGGTTCCTGTCCCTGGTGTAGTTGTACCCTGTCTGGGCTTTTACAAATTCAACTTCAGAGCATTTTCAGTGGGGGCGGGGCTAAAAAATAACCCTGAGGACGAGACTGATACCGCTGAAGGTGACGGTAAGCACCCTGATCTGTCCTCTGCACAAGGCAGCTGCCATCCCCGCAGCATTTAGTTTTGTACATGTGAATTCAGACCACTTACGGTCGAGGTGTTTAGGGCTAAGGAGATGAACAGAAAGTGTGGCCAACATAGACTGGCTTCTGGCATTCTACATTGTGTCCTTAGTGTCACCCCAAGTCTGGACTGGCCACAGTGACTATGTTCTCATGATAGTGGAAGGGACATAGTGATGTCCTACGCTTAGTTAGAAAAGGTGGCCAGCTCAGTTACGCACTGTGAGGAAGTTGGGCCAGGAGCCCTGGCTGGGGAAGCTCCTGTGACTGCAGCCCTGCCTTGAGGGCACCAGCAGATGGAGCAGACGTGAACCATCCCAATGGAGCCCAGAACTGACTGTGTACCCGTGCTGGGTGTTTTGTTTGTAGAGGATCAGTTTGGGATGTGAACATAACACATGCTGACTCAATTTCCCAGTGGAGTTTACTTTTTACTTTGTAAAGTTTTGGATTCCTGAGTACAAAGTGAGCAAGGTCTACAGCCCGATGGGAACGTGAGAACTACTGAACAAGAGGAAGAGGAGAGAGCTGGCAGGAGGCAGGTGTTTGGTTGCAAGTTCCCTGTGTGGACAGCAACAGTGAGATCTGCACTGAGTGCCAGCACCAGATCAGGTCACCAATAGTTGGCGGAAGGATAATGGAAGAGGGACAGAAAAGTGTTCCTTCCATGTCTCTTACTACTTAACCGATATTTAAGTATGAAAAAGAAGACCCAGGAATTCCCATGCTTTTCTCTGGTAAAGGTATGCATTTTTTGTTTCCTTTTGAGGCATGGTCTCATACCTGTAGCTCAAGCTGGATCTTAAATTCCTGATTCTCCTGCCTTACCTCCCAATTGCTGGAGTTTCAGGGGTAAAACTTCATGTTCAGCTTGTAAATATGGACTTTGAATTTCATAAAGGTGAGTAAAAAATAATTTCTATAGCTGGGCGGTGGTGGTGTACACCTTTAATCCCAACACTAGGGAGGCAGAGGCAGGCAGATCTCTGTGAGTTCGAGACCAGCCTGGTCTACAAGAGCTGGTTCCAGGACAGCCTCCAAAGCCACAGAGAAACCCTGTCTCGAACCTCCCTCCCCAAATAATTTTTATAAGATGTATTTTGGGGAAATTAACATGGTGGATTTAAAACATTCACATCATCAAATTCACGTACTACCGGTGAGCATGTATCTGCATATATAAAGATATGTCTATGTGCTTTTAAGTATTAATTCATTTAATTTTGTGTCTTTTTGAGAAAATGTGACAGTGCTGGGACTGAACCCAAGTTTTCCCTGCATTCTAGGCAACTACTGTTCTGCTGAGTTACAGCCAATTCCTGTGTCTATTGTTTTAAAGACATAATATATGTGCGCATTTTCTGTCAGTTGAGGGAACAGGTTTCAACCCCACATCACCCTAATGTCACTAGTGAGAAACAGCAAAAAGAGGAGTAGTTAATCCTATTGCTTTCACATTGACAGTGGGACCACAGTAAACACAAACAATTTAACATTCATGGACCTTAACCGGAAAGAGTACATTGGTTCCAGGGGATGGTTTATGGAGAGCCGCGATTTGACTCTCTGGATTTTGTGACTGTCCATGCTCACCCAGAAAACCCAGAGTCTAGAGTGGGTGACTTGCAGCTGTGTCTGCACATAGGCCTGTCATCTTTTGTCAGGCTCCACTTCAGACCAGAGGCAAAGGCCCTGCTGGGCACTGAATGGAGCTGTGGGCAGTGTAGAGAGCTTGCTAAAATGTGCCCCAAGCTTGGCTTGTGCTCTTGTCCCACTGATGTGGACTCTGAAACTAGAGCACCTACAAAGATGACACCAAGAGCTATGACCTCCCTGTGTCACTTCATTTAACATCTGTGCACATGTATGTACAAGTGTGCACACACAGATGAATATGTATGCATGTATAGTGTCCAAGTACACTCCTCATACACAAGTGCATGCACTCCTATGCACATACACACGTGTGCACACACACACTTGCATGCACAACCAGTGTCCAAGTAGACTTGTACAATGCATGTACTCTTGCACGTCCACATGCAGGAACACACACACATGCAGTGTCCAAGCAAATCCATACATACAAGTGACAAGTGCATGGACTCCTGCACTTCCACACACAGGAACACATGCCCACACACCTTTCTAAGCCCTGTCAGTAGTTTTTCAGCTACCAGAGCATTCTGGTTGAGAAGTTGATTGTGTTGGAGAAACAATATACCTCAGTCAGCAGGAAATCAAAGAGGGAGGATTTCTGCCAGTGTTCCCTGGTGTCTTGATTCCTAAAGAGGCTTTGCCTTACAGAGTGCACCAGACACTGCTTTTGCAGGACATCAGTGTTCATGGTGGCCACTGAGTCAGAAAGCAGACATCAGTCTGCATGCACCACGGATCAGAATCAGATATTGACGGTTGTGGGTCTCAGGTTTGTTTATGCAGGGAGTTGGGTACATTTTGATTCTCACCTTCAAGTAGGACTTTTCATGCTTTCCCCCAGCTTTCTCCACAGGGTATGCTCTCAGAAAGTCATGCTCCACCTTCTTAAGCCCCCACCTGCGCACCTACATCCCCTGGAAACCTCTAACATCAGTTTTGGTCTTCTCCTGGTCCCTCAGCATCCATTGTTTCATCTTCCCTCCCATAAAACCAAAAGGCAGAGACCGGTTTCAGCCGGTAGACACTGCGTTCTGTGCCCTTTGAAACACTAAGTTCTTAAGTCCCATCTCACGCTTCTTATCTGTGCTAACTACCAGCTGCCAGCTGCTACTTTCTGCAGGGATAAAAGCTATCTTGGTGGGATGTCTTTGTGGTGAGTCCCTCATGGAGAAGGGCAACAGTTTGTGAGGACCATGTGTGAACAATGCAATGGGCTGGAAATTCTTAGGCCATGGTGACTGGCGATTTTTACAGAATACGAAAGTCAGCTGTGTCCTCTAACTTGGTGCCAAAGCATCATTCTATTTGGACAACAGTACGAGCAGCAGCTCAGATGAAAGTTCCAGGACCGAGTACAAGGGCATCGAAGAGCTTAAACGCTTTTTATTCCAGGGGAACAGAGGCCGGCACCTTGTGAAGTCAGGGCCGAGAACCACACTCAGACCAATAATCCTCAAAGCTAATTTATGCATCTTCTGACTTCACTCAAACCTGGTTTAAATAAAAGAGGGTTAATGGTGGCTCTGTGTTTTGGCTGTCCTTTTTGGCATGGGGCTGGAACAGGCAGGAGGGGCTAAGGAGAAACCCAATAGGAGGGTCAACACTCCACACATTCAAGCTGGAATTGGGTCATGGGGACCAGTTAAGAAAATACTCCTGTTTGGTAGCCAAAGTTGTTCTGGTCATCTTTCCATGTGGTACACTGGACAAGACTGATGCCATCCCAGGTAGCAGGGCCCCGACAGCCTTTCTGGGTTATCAATTCCATGAACTACGCACAGTGCATTTATTGTAGACAGGGTTTCATGCAGACCCAGGCTAGTTTCAAACTTGCTACGCAGCTAAGACTGATCTTGAACTTCATATCTCGACTCCACTCCCAATTTGCAGCTGTGTGCTACGATACTCAGTTACATGTAAGACTGCAGCATACACTCAGACACTGTGCATGTCAGTGGGGCATCCCACCAACTGAGCTACTTCTTCAGCTCCCAACAGTGTCCCTACACAGCTTCTACATGGTAAATGGCATTTCAAAGAAGTCCCACAATGTGGGACCAACTTTCACAATGTGCTAATTCTTTTTTTTGGAGGCATGTGCCACAATTTACTAAGTCTCGGCTATAGTAATTCTCAGACAGGCAACCCCAGAAGTTCTGAGAAATAGCAATAATATTTTCAGTTATTCAGAGTCTAGAATATCCAGCAATAAAAAGCTAAAAAGTGCCTCAGTGCCAGCAAGATGGCTCAGGAGGTAAAGGTGCCTGTCATCAGGCCTGATGACCGAGTTCAATTAATCCGTGGGAACCACATGGCAGGAGGAGACACCCGATTCCTACAGGTTTGTCTTCTAACATCTACTTGCATACTGTGGCATATACACACTGTTGTACAGACTGATACATAAGTACCCATGCACACACAAATTAATTAATAAAAAGCATGTCTTAGGTAATCCTATTTTGTGACTGGGAAGGCATGAAGGAGCTCTAGTCTCCAGGCTGTATGCCTATAACAGGAGCCACAGAGGAAGATTTCCAGTATCTAAAGGCTGATGTGAAAAGAATCCCATTTCCAAGCCAGAAAGATCTGACCCTGCCATCTACACTGTGCAACAGGACAAGATGGATGTTTCAATGTGAGTGACTTGTGTTAGGATTTGTTGTAAGTGAACAGATACAGCAACGGGGCTTCCTGAAGGGGCAACTTCACATAGCTTCAAGAGCACAGGGTACACTCAGCGCCCCCACACCATACTTACCCCATCCTTGGACACTGCGGACATCAGCAGTGAAGAAACACTGGTCTCCAACAGCTGCAGGAACAGGGAGGAAGGGCTCAGTGACATCCACTAAGTGGCAAGCACTCACCCAAGGTCCTCCTATTTATAAAGTGAGGCACTACACAGCGAAACTGTGACAGGTGACCTCCACTTCTCCTTCCCAGGAACTGAAGACGGCTCTGACCACATCCTTTCCTGGCACACAGTTTGCCACAAGGTAAACAACAGAACACACATGTGCCCTGTTCCACTGTCATCCCTGCAGTCCACAGTAGACACACATGAGCTCCAGGTCCCTTTTCCTACCTTGACCTTCACAGTACTCCTGGGTCTCGTGGGACAGTCCAGAAAGACGTGCAGCTGCTTCTTTTGAAGAGGTGACACAACCAGTTGTGAACAGTTCCCACAGGAGAAGGGCCCTCTGCTGTGTGAACGCACAGAGAGAATATAAGCAAGAAAGGAGGTATAGCAGAAGACTTCTACAGCAAAGACAGATTTCTCTAAACATAGATGTCTAGTGGCAGAATCTCTGCTGTCAGAATTAAATTGTTGGACCCAGCCAGAAGCAGCCAAGGACTGGACTGTTGTGGGGACTAGCAGCTAGAAGCTGCTGAGGGGCCTTGGGTATACAAGGGCTTTATTCATGAGGAGTATGCGGGGAAGGTGGCCTTCCAGGAAGTGAAGGTCAGGGGGTGGGTTTCTCAGCCTCCCAGCAGGGAAAGCTTGCTCAGCAGCCCTGGCATCTCCACTGGCACAGTGATCTCACATGGACCCAGGCTCCCTTGCTTCTTTGACATAATCCAGAAGTGGCTTGTGTACACACAAGGCCAGCAAGCCAGTAGGCATCAAGAAGATATACGCTCTTTGCTTCTTTTAAATATTTTATGGCTGGGCAGTGGTGGCACACACCTTTAATCCCAGCACTCAGGAGGCAGAGGCAGGTGGATCTCTGTGAGTTTGAGGCCAGCCTGTTCTACAGAGTGAGTTCTAGGACAGTCAGAAACCCTGTCTTGAAAAAATAATATATGTATATGGATGTTTTGCCTGTACATATTCTGTCCACCAAGTACACCCTGGTACCCGAAGAGGTCAGAAAAGATACAAGGTCCCCTGGAACTAGTCACAGACAGTTGAGAGCTACCATGTGGGCACTGGGAATCCAGCCTGGTCCTCTGGGGGCAGCCCATGCTCTCAACTGCTGACTGTCTTCTGAGTCCTGCTCTTGGCTTCTAGGAAACAGACAGGTGATGAGGACACTCTTTGGTCTGTCATGTGACACAGTCCACCGGGAGGCAGAGAAGTAACTCCAGAGAAACAAATAGTGCTGACACTTGCTGGCTAGCTGTATGACAGCATGACACAGACTAGTCATCTGAGAGGGGGGAGCTTCAATTGGGAAAATGCCTGTGCTAAGATTGGGCTGCAGGCAGAAGGGAATTTTCCTAACTAGTGACTGATGGGGAAGGGCCCAGGCATTGCTGGTTGTGCTATCCCTGATGGGGGATGTCCTTTGTATGCTGTGAATATGTTTCTCTTATTGGTTGATGAATAAAGCTGTTTTGGAGAGGCAGGATGTAGCCAGGCAGGAAGTATAGGCAGGGCTACCAGACTCTGGGAATGCTGGGAAGATGAATGCAGAGAGTGAGTCACCACAGAAACACCATGTAGCTGTGGAGAAAACAAGAGGCTTAGGCTTCACTGGAAAGCCAAGACAATGTGGAGATACACAGATGAATAGAAATGGGTTAATAATTAAGAGGGAGCTAGCCAATAAGAAGCCTGAGCCATTGGCCAAACAGTTTGTAATTAATATAAGCCTCTGCATGCTTATTTGGGACTAAATGGCTAGGGGATCGGGTAGGATGGAAACTCTGTCTACAATCCCTGAGCTGGTGGTGGTCTCGGGTTCTGTAAGAAAGCAGATTGAGCAAGCCATGGGGAACAAGCCTGTATGCATCAGTCCCCTGCATCAGCTCCTGCCTCCAAGTTCCTGTCCTGTCTGAGTACTTGTCCTGAATTCCTTCAATGATTAACTACAATGTATAAGTCAAACAAACCCTTTCCTCTTTAGCTTGTTTTTGGTCATGGTATTTCATCATAGCACAGAAACCACAACCAAGACAAATAGCCTTGACAAAAGCCCAGGAGGGTAAGGAAAGTGGGCAGGAAAGGTGTGACATTGACAGCTGCTCACTGTCCCTGGGAAAGTGCAGGACTCCTAGCACATGCCACACAGCTTGTCTTACCTGTTGACATTTGTAGTTTTTCTTTCTTCTTCTAATAATGAAGGCTAAGTACAAAGTTCAGTTCTACACTTTCAAGGACAGGAAGAGCTGCAAAGTTAGGGTTCTCCACTAAGAAAGCCCACAGAGAGGCACCGCAGCCTCCATCCTGCAGCTCAGCAGAGTGGGTTCTCCTCTGTGCTTGGGAAACCCATGTACAGGACAGAGGTCACAGCACCCTGGGCCTGGGCTACTGCAGTGCTCTTTGGGCCCCAGGCGTTTCAGGCAGCCTTACCCATCTTCTGGCTCCTGTTCCAATCTCCCATTGCCACACTGGTCGCAGGAAGGCCACGAGAAGGCAGTGCTGTCATCTATGTCAACCACAGTTCCTAGTGAGAAGAAAGGCCACTTTCACCACTGACCTGTTTCCTCGCCTCTGGAAGTGCCTGCCTTAGCTCTTCTTACTCACTGGTTAGCTAACTCCTTGCATCTGATTTTTCTAGTTTACTTGATTATTGTGATTACGAACATATGTACTTATGGGGTTAGGGAGATGGCTCAGTAGGTGAGAGGGCTTACTGTGCAAACGTGAAGAACTAAGATCAAGTCTCCAGCACCTAGAAAAAAGAGAGAGAAGAAAAAGAAACAGAGAAAAAACCAAGCATGGCTGTATATTGACCTGTAACCCCACAGCTGGTGGGACACACAGGAGGGTTAGTTACTTGGGTTTGTTGGCTCCAGGCTGCAGGTAAGACACACCGCCCCAAGGAAGTAAGGTGGGTAAGAACAGAGCAGGGCACCTGATGTCCTCCATGTACCAGCAATGGAATATATATATATATATATATATATATATATATATATATATATATATATATATATATATATCACACACACCATAAATAAAAAAAAACATTTGTGATCTAGTCAGTAAGTAAACATGAGTGTGACAGCATGTGTCTTAGTTAGGGTACTATTGCTGTGAAGAGACACCATGACCACAGCAACTCTTGTAAAGGAGAACATTAACTGGGACTTGCCCACAATTTCAGAGGTTTAGTCCATTTTCGTCTGAACGCAGGCAAACATGTGCTGATGAGGGATCCACAGGCAGCAGGAAGAGACTGCTGATTTGAGCTTCTGAGACATCAAAGCCTGACCCCAGTGACACACTTCTTCCAACAAAGCCACACCTACTCCATTAGGACCACACCTCCTAATAGCACCACTCTCTGTTATTTTTGTTTCTCTGTGATTTGTTTTGTTTTGTTTTTCAGGACACGGTTTCTCTGTGTAGCTTTGGCTGTCCTGGAACCCGCTCTGTAGACCAGGCTAGCTTGGAGCTCAGAGATCCGCCTGCCTCTGCCTCCCAGTGCTGGGTTTAAAGATGTGCACTAGTACCACCCAGGGTTATTGTCATTTTTAAATCCTATTAAGTCGAAACATACCTTACTTGTCAATTTAATTCATTGATGGTATGTTTCCTATAGACCTACATTTTTGACATTTTTCTCCCATCTCAATATTCTCTAGTAGAATTCATTGTGGAGTTCCCGTTTCCTGGCTAGCTCTGAAGGTGTCCTGCAGGCCTGTGGTGGACAAGTCCAGTGTGTGAACACATCATCACGGAGCAGGGTACTGCCAGATCCCAACAGGAGAAAGTGAAGTAGCAAAGATTGACTCTCCTTGCCAGGAGGAGTGCCCTGAGTAAAGCAGGAAGAGAGTGGACTGACCCTACTCTCATGGCCATCCAAAGGCTGGCGGCTAACGGTGGGGGCAAACTCACCCAAAGCTGGGGCACACTGCTCTACAGCAGCGGTCGCTGCCCCTCTCAGCTGCCTCTGTCTTGCCCTGTTGCCTCCAGGCACAGAGGCTCAGATATGGCTTTGTGGCTCCTTCTTCACGTCCACCCTTTGAAGGCCTCTTTTTAAAAAGATGGTCTAGTGGCTATTATGTACCTCTCCCGAGCCTATCTGTGAGAAATGTCTTTGTATCAGGCAGAGTAAAGGCAGGCTTTTAGCAGTGAGTGCAAGACATGAGGCAGGCTTGTCTTTCTCCACTCACGTAAAATAACCTTTTGGATACCAACTGTTCAGTGGTCTGCTTCCTTTAAATTTGGCTTAAAATCATATGAGAGGATTTCCAGTGGTTTATAAGCTGCAGATAAAGCACATTTCTTCAGCTCTTGCCATATTCTCTAATTGAAAGTAAATTACTTAATCCCACATAAAGGTCAGGGCTGTGAACACCCCCAAATGCCCTGAGTAAATGGAACTTTGTATTGATTTGTTTACTAAAAAGAGTGCTTGCCCTAGGGCCAATCCTCAGTACTGAGAGGGAAAAAACTATAAAAGCAAACTTGGACTACAAGATGACCAGATTGCAGAGCATCCATTGCTGTTCTGGATGTTGCCTAGTGTCTCCCTCTAGACTTCCTGCTGTGTCTCCGTAGCTAAGAAGCTACTGGCAGCTATAGCTACTAGGAGAGAAGAACCCATTTTTAAGGGTGTAGCCCCTGGTGAATTAGCCAACCTTCAGTGAAAAGTAACATTCAGGAGTTCATGGCAGCCAAACTGGATGATGTAGGGAAAGACAGGAACCTGATTGGGTAAGGAAGGAAAAGTGGGTCTTTGAGGAATGAGGATGAATATGATAAACATCCATGGTGGTTGTAAATAATCAATAGAAATGAAACATTATTTTTCATCCATTTGACACACTTTGATTATATTTATAAAGACAGTGTCAATAGTTGAAGCAGACTCTTCAAAACTGACCTATTCTCATTTTTTAAGTCATTTAAGTTTGCATTGCAAGAACATATTTCAATAAACCAAGCTTTCTAGTTCTCATATAATTCTGCCTCACTGTCTGTAGACACTGTTTGCTGATGCTTGTTCTAGTGGAGAATGACACCTTGCTTCAAAAATGCCAATGGGGGCAGGGAATATACCTCTGAAGTGAAATGCTTGCCACGTACTAGGTTTGATTACCAGGACACAAACGAAAATTGGGAGATAAAGATGCAGAAGAGAGAAGGTATGAGGGGTGAGATCCTTCTCTGGTTTTGGAAACTCAGCCACCTCTTACTTTTTCTTTTAATATTGAATTGACTGTGATTCAACAAGGATGGTCTCAAGTACACCAGTACATCCAAGGGGACCATCTTCATCTCCAGTATGTGCTGCCAACCTCATAGCCGGATTGCCTACCTTGCCTTGGCCCTGTGCTGTCCGTCTCCATACCTAGCTCACCCCTCTGACCCTTGAGTCAGCTCCTGGGCTGTATCTTCAGGGGCTTGTTATAGTTCTCAGTTTAGAGTTTATCTTTTGGTATTGTACTCAGTGTTTACCTGTTTCACCTCCCTGCCTCCCCAACTGGACATGAGAGTAGAGACTGTGTCATTTTTGTTTCTTAGACCCTTTATGTCCTACCCTGTGTTACTTTGAATGAATATGGCCCCACAGACTCACAGGGAGTTGCTCTATTAGGGGGCGTGGCTTTGTTGGAGGAAGCATGTCACTAATGGAGGGATTTGAGGTCTCAGAAGCTCAATCCAGGTCCTGTGGCACTCAGTCTCTTCCTGCTGCCAGCAGTTCCAAATGTGGAACTCTTGGCTCCTTCTCCAGCACCGTGTCTGCCTGCATGCTACCATGCTTCCTGCCATGACTATAATGAACTTGTAGGAGCAAGAAATTCACTAGTATAACCCGACACCAACACTCCTGTTGACAGTGACTGAATATCTTCATCCAACAGCAGGAAGATGCTTTCTTATGCTCAGAGAGAAAATTCACTTTAGCTCTATGATATAGTACATGACTAATGTGAGCAAGACCCTGGGTTCCATCTCTGGAACTTCACAAAACTAAAAACCACAAAACACGGTCCTGGTCCCTGAAATCCTCCTTTACAGAAACTGGAAATGATATCCAAGAATGTACTGGGACATCCTATATGTGTACTGGTGGAGGAGTAGCTTGTCCATGAAGGCCTGTCTATGGCCATGTAAACCTCTAGCTCCCCTGCATAGGGGTTCAGAGTGTGCACTGCTGTAGAGACAGCTCAGGGGTTCAGAGTGTGCACTGCTGTAGAGACAGCTCAGGGGTTCAGAGTGTGCACTGCTGTAGAGACAGCTCAGGGGTTCAGAGTGTGCACTGCTGTAGAGACAGCTCAGGGGTTCAGAGTGTGCACTGCCGTAGAGACGGCTCAGGGGTTCAGAGTGTGCACTGCCGTAGAGACGGCTCAGGGGTTCAGAGTGTACACTGCCGTAGAGACGGCTCAGGGGTTCAGAGTGTACACTGCTGTAGAGACGGCTCAGGGGTTCAGAGTGTGCACTGCCGTAGAGACGGCTCAGGGGTTCAGAGTGTGCACTGCCGTAGAGACGGCTCAGGGGTTCAGAGTGTGCACTGCCGTAGAGACGGCTCAGGGGTTCAGAGTGTGCACTGCCGTAGAGACGGCTCAGGGGTTCAGAGTGTGCACTGCCGTAGAGACGGCTCAGGGGTTCAGAGTGTGCACTGCTGTAGAGACGGCTCAGGGGTTCAGAGTGTGCACTGCCGTAGAGACGGCTCAGGGGTTCAGAGTGTGCACTGCCGTAGAGACGGCTCAGGGGTTCAGAGTGTGCACTGCCGCAGAGACGGCTCAGGGGTTCAGAGTGTGCACTGCCGTAGAGACGGCTCAGGGGTTCAGAGTGTGCACTGCTGTAGAGACGGCTCAGGGGTTCAGAGTGTGCACTGCTCTTGGAGAACTACTGAGTTCAGTTCTCTGCATCTGTGCTGGGCAGCTCACAATTGTCTTTAAGTCCAACTCCACTAGTGTGAGCGACACCTCTGGCGGCAGAGGGCATCTGCACTCACGTGCACATACCCTCACAGACACATACAAGTACATATAATTAAAAATAAAATACATATTAAAATATAACTACCCCCAGACAAAACAACCACCCAAACAAGGAGATCAATAGCAATAGAAGTGGGGTAAGAGAAGGCAGTAAGTGGTGAATACGATCAAAATACTTTATATATATATGCGTATGAAAATGCCATAATGAAATTCGTTATGCATAATAAATATATGCTAAACAACAATAATAAGCACAAACAATAAAACATCCAAAGTCTCAAGCAAGACATAGGTATGCCCTCAAAGTTACCTCACATTCTATGTCCTGTTTGGGGAGATGTGCCAGTGCCTGGTGGCCTGGGGTGGAAGCTTGCGGGTCGCTGTACCTGTTCTCACTGTGTGCATGTCTGCTCCTTCTTCATCTGACTTATGACCTGACCCTCCAGTATGCCTCCTAATGAAGCCACTCCTCTGCCCTGTGTTTCCTTCTCTGTCACTGCATTATTGCCTCTCTGGGCCTCTACCTACAGGATGGAATCCAGACCACATACCCTCTAGGCTTCAAAGCTAGTTTCCCTGTGTTGTGATCACAGGGTGTTCTCTGTGTGCAGATGGTGATGTCTGTGACTTTGTCAACACTGAAGCTCCCCACTTCTGTGCACAGCTGACTATACTCTTGACAGCTAGCTGTCTCTTCAGCTTCCTCTTGGTACTCCGCTCCATCTTTTTAGCCTCCCCACCCTTCTCCACTGGCTTGCCAGCTATCTCCTGTAGGCTATATGTTAAGTCCTGCTACTTGTCCCAATCACTTAAGTATCTTTCAGATCCTGACTTAAGAATTCAAGAACCTAAAAAATATTATTTACTTATATTGCATTTGCTTGTGTGTTCATGCGAGCACACATATGCACGCTTGTACACATGCATAGTACTGTAGACAGAGACTTTTCTGTCCCACCGGGCCCTGCAGCCATTTCTAAATAATCACTCAGAGGCAAAATATTAATTATAAGTTTATATTAGTATAAATTATATAAAATATTAATTATAATGCTGATGGCTCAGGTTTACTTCTAGCTAGCTCTTACATTTAAGTTAAGCCATTTCTATTAATCTAAGTATTGCCTGCCACATGGCTGTGGCATTACCGGTCCACTGCATGTTGTTCCTCGGGTGGCTGGATGGCATCTCCCAGACTCCGCCCATCTTCTCCTGTATGTCTGCTTGGATTTCCCACCTGGCTCTATCCTGCCTTGCCATAGGTCAAAGCATCTTTATTTATCAACCAATGAGAACAACACATATTCACAGCATACAGAAAGACATATCACAACATAGTACAGAGAATAACTTGTGGGAATTGGCTCTCTTTTTACACTGTCAATAATGGGGACTAAACTCAGGTCACTGGTTTGGGGGCAGACACCTTCATTTGCTGAGCCATCTCATAGGATCAAGGATACAGTCTTTAGGGAGCCTTCCTAGATCTTACTCAGCAAGGTGAGAGGCCCATTTGAAACACTGGAGTCTTGTTTGTGCACTTACCTGTTTTATATCTTCCTATTTAGAGTCCTAGTCCAAAATCATAGACCCTCTTCTTATTTTATCCCTACATATCTAATGTCTGGAATATAGACACTCAATAAAATTTACTGAGCAGTGTATTTAAAATAATACAACATGTAAGACAATGGAAATTCTGCTTCCAGTCAGAGGGCTACCCACCTAGCACACTGCAAATGGAGTTGACAGGTGTGAGGAAGTTCAGTTCATCCACTGTCACTGGGCCAGGCAAGTCACAGGAACCAGCACCAGAAGGTACACAAAAGAGGGATTTCTGGGGTAGGAGGACTGTCCGCTCAATACAAACAATCTTACCTGCCATGGAGAGACACTTCAGATTACTCAAGCAATTAAGGAAAGCAAGCACATTCTAGCCAGTCTCCTTTGCCAGTCATTGCAAGTTACGTAGGAAGAAAGGCAGATATGGGCTTGTCTGTTCCTTATGGCAGGCATGTCCTGCATGTAAATGTCACATGGAAGTACATCTTGAAGCCCCCAGTGACAATGGTGGAAAAGAACACAAACACTACATTCAAATACAATTTCAAAGGGTGAATTTTGTAGTATTCAAATTACACCTAAATAAAAATAAAAAAAAGTTTAAGTATTTGATCCCAAGAAAAGGTATGGACTGATCTCAAGCCTACTTTACAATTACTATTATCTTGAAAAAGGGTTTCACCGTGTGACCTAGGCTGGCTTCTAACTTACGATACTCCCGCTTCAGCATCACACGTTTTGGGGTTACAGGCCTTTGTTACAGGGCCAGACACAGACCATGCTCTCTAGCTTTTGTTTTATTTTAAAAAGGGACATCTAGGTCATAACAGTAGGTGGTTTCCACTTAAGCATAGGTGCTGTCGACAGAGTCAAGGAGCGGCCAACAGTGTCTTCCCAGTGTCTACCACAACTTGGAGTGCTGCCTCCTGACAGGTGGTGTTGGCAAAGTCAATGAGAGCCCATGGCAGGTATGACGGCCTCTCCCCACCCACCAGGCTAGGTTGGTACTGGTCTGTGAAGGTGCCAGCACTGTTGAGCAGGATAGGGCACAATGGAGGAACGAAGCTGTCACTCTAAAGCAATCAAGAGAAACCATCATACCCTTGTCTCGAAGAGCATCCCTGAAGAGTATGTTTTGAGGCACAGCCATGGTAAGTCCTTCTAGAACTTCTGGATGCAGCACACATGAGGGGGCTACATAGATTGGCAGGGTTTTGGGAAGGTAGTGGTCCCTTTCGTCCTGTATTTGTAGGGTAATGTCAGTCACCAGCAGCCAGATTTCCTTTCGTGCCAAAAGATTCTTTACCTACAATTTGAAATAAAAAAAACTTAACTATGCATATCCAAAACCTTTAAAAGTAATATTAGTACTTATTTATACTCATAATTTAATATGTGATTTTAAAAACGTTTTTTAAAACAGACAATAAAGTTTACACACTAATGTTACTAGTACTCAGTAACGCAGTTATACCCACTCCATGCCTGTTAGGGCTCCTCTCGCATGCACAACACAGCTCTCACTGGCAGTTGTCTGTTGGTCTCCTGAAGCACAGGGAAAACTCATTTTCATTCCCTCTCTGTGCACAGAGTTTTCTGCCCAGAGACCCGTGGTCCCTGTGGATACCTGCCTGTTTCCTGAGGGTTAGAGCAGACCTCATGGGACTCTACAGTGGACCCGTGGTTTCTGTGGATACCTGCCTGTTTCCTGAGGGTTAGAGCAGACCTCATGGGACCCTACAGTGGACCCGTGGTCCCTGTGGATACCTGCCTGTTTCCTGAGGGTTAGAGCAGACCTCATGTGACTCTACAGTGGACACGTGGTCCCTGTGGATACCTGCCTGTTTCCTGAGGGTTAGAGCAGACCTCATGGGACCCTACAGTGGAGCCGTGGTCCCTGTGGATACCTGCCTGTTTCCTGAGGGTTAGAGCAGACCTCATGGGACCCTACAGTGGAGCCGTGGTCCCTGTGGATACCTGCCTGTTTCCTGAGGGTTAGAGCAGACCTCATGGGACCCTGCAGTCAATTTTGGCATAAAGCAGCCATCTTAAATCTGTTGCATGCGCAGCGGGTTTCATTTTTATTAATTTTATCTTTCTTTTTCCTCTTTCTTGATAATTTTTTAAATATTTTTTTTGGTCATTTGTAGGAGTTGTGATACTTTTGAAAGTTCTAGTAAACTGGCATCCTGCCTCTATTAGTGGGTCAGAACTTACACTAGTAGACATAAATACAAGTCAAGGAGCATGTGTAGGCCCAGAGCCTAAGTGCTTGGCTAGTTTAAGGGTTCGGCTGGTATGGCTGGAGCAGATGGCATATTTAGGAGATGTGGGCTGGGGTAAAGACAAAAGTTTATATCATTATGGGCTTGATTACATAAAATGAATTAGAGTAAATATTACTAAGAAAAATATAAACAGAGTCAGCTTTCTCCTTGTTGGTGAGGAAAGGTTTTATTTATTTATTTGCTGAGACTGATTTTTGTGTAGCCCAAATTGGCCTCATATTCCCTGTGGAGCCAACGGTCATCTTGAACTCCTGATCTTCCTGCTTTCATCTATAAGCCACCACATTCCACTGGAGAGAAAGTTACACAACAGGAGTCTAGAGAAAATTGTGTGGTGATGGCCTATGGTAGGAGGTATTGGTGCAACATGACTCAATCTCACAGGCTGCCCCTTGGCCTCCACATGGACCTGCACACAAAGACAGACCGATACAAACTCATACACACACAGACACAGACAGACAGACACACTCACACACCAAAGCATCAAAGGGCAAAATCAATGAAAACAAACCACCAAAGGTCAGCTTGAAATATCTTACTGTGTCAGAAAGGAAAGATTCAAAGGATGACAGATCACCTCCTTTTCTGTTGCTGTTATAAAATACCACAAAAAAAAAGCAACTGGGAAGAGAGTTTATTTTAGTTAATAGTTCCAGAGGGACACAGTGCATTGTGATGGAGAGACATGACAACAGGAGCATGGGGCAAACAGGAAGCAGAGAGATCACATTTCAGATGTAACAGGAAGGAGGGAGAGAAAGGAGACAAGAGGAATCTCACAGCCCACTCCAGGTGACATACTTCCTTCAGGAAAACTATTACTTCCTAGAAGTTTCACAGACTTGCTTCCTAAACAGCAACACCAACTGGAGGCCAGGTATTCAAATATGGGAGCCTTTGGAAGACATCTCTTAGTTAAAACACCACATGTGGTGATTATGCTTAACAGACCAAGGACATAGATTAAATCTTGAAACGTGAACACCAAATGAACAACAGTAACAAATCATATAAAACCTAGTGAATAAAACATGAGGGGACTACACAGTGCAGCTGCCTGAGGCTGTCATACACAATTGGGTATGACTTGGAGGTATTACAGCTGTAAGAGGGTCACCTGGGATCCTGACATGTCCACACTGGCTCCCTTCTAATTCTGAAGCCCTTGGAGCAAGAGTCCCGGCTCAGAAGGCCAGCATGGTCAACAGAGACGGCTCAGGAGAGCAGAGGCTCCTAACTGACCAGAACCCACATCACTGTCAGTTTTGGACATGGGGGAAAACTCTTTTTGGTTTCCCCTCCCCTCCCTCTGTTCCTACATTGTCAAGCAGTTGAAAACAAAGACTCTGTTGCTGTGGTACAGTGAAGCAATGTTCGGTTATAAATGAAAAGCCAAACCCAAACCCAAAACCAAAACAGTTATCGTATTATTCCCTCCAAGGGTAAAGGCCTATCATTGAAGAAAAAGAAGGCAGAAAGAATGTAGGAGCCAAGGGAAGGAACAGAGGATCACAGCCAGTTCACCAGAATTGAGACTGCTTTCTGGAGAGTCATGACTCAGGAAACTCATGAAACATGAAGATTCACAGAGCCCTCCCCAGTGTTACATACTCAGTAAACAATGACTGTGGGAGAAGCACTCAGAGCCCTCTATATATACTTCTAGAAATGACCTCAACCCCAATAAACCCATTGGTTTACCAAGCCAAGCAAAAAAACTAGCTAACTAAATAATAATAATAAAGAATTCATTAATCAATTTTACATAGCAGGTCAATAACTCAAGTGGACTAACTAAATGAGACAAATGAAAAGATAAGTAAAGCAAAATGACACTTAGTAAATGCAGAGGAAATTTTAAGTTAGAAATTACCACTTTGTCACTATGAAAATACAATTATTAATTCAGGCAAGAATCATAACAGATGCTAAAATGAGTGGGTGAAAGTTTGAGAAAAGCCAGGATATTTACACAGTCTCAAAGTTGCTTTCCAAAAAAAGTCTCTGAGAATTAATGATTATGAAATATTTGTTAGTCAACTTCAAAATGAAAAAAAGGAAAACCTGGAAAGCCATTTGACCAAACGAAAAATCATCACAACTCTGGAAGGAATTGTGTGTCTTCCAATGAAAACACAGCATTATCCACGTGGCGTTTCTGTCAAAAATGCATAATATGAACCTGTTGGATACCAGACAAACCTAAAATGAGGGATATTATACTAAGCAATGGGTCCATGATCTTAGAACAAAACAAAGTCATAATACATAAGCAATATGAAGTATTCCAGCTGAACAGCCATGTGCTGAGTCCTGGAGTTAGAAAGGTTACTTCTGAAATGACTTATAAGACTAACATTTGAAAAACTGATAGATATCCCCAAAGGGGTAAAACTGTAAATGCTCTTCATTAATACCCGAGATTTGGCTCTGGCCTGTCTCTCAGATGACTGAGAGACTAACATCTTCTAATTTTTTTCTTTGTTTAACTTTACATTTTATTTTTACTATGTTCTTGTTGTTGGGATGCATGTGTGCGCACATGTCAAATGACACCCTTATGGAGTTGTTTCTCTCTTTCTTTCCGCCTTCATATGGGATCCAGGGATGGAGCTCAGGTCATTAGGCCTGTCTGATGAGCATTTTCCTTGTCCCTTATTTTATTTTAAATTAACTACCAAATTATTTCTACTACCAGGGCATAAAAAGTTGGTAATAAGGGTAGAGTATCTTTTATAAAAAGACACCAATATTTAACAGTTAAATTTTGTTTAAAATAAATGTTTTCTTATTCATAATTGCTTAAATCTGGGAGCAAACAAGATCTTTTGGCAGAAGTTTTACTCTTCTCACTACTATGACAGAATACCTGAAGAAGGATGCTTCGGAAGGAAGGAAGGAAGGAAGGAAGGAAGGAAGGAAGGGAGGGAGGGAGGGAGGGAGGGAGGGAGGGAGGGAGGGAGGGAGGGAGGGAGGGAGGGAGGGAGCATTGGCTTGCAGAGCACAGTGAGTCATGGCAGGGAAGGCATTGTGGGAAGGTCAGCGTAGGAGGCAGGCAGCAGGTGTTACTACACCAGCAGTCAGAACGCCGAGGAGGAAGCATTGGTGCTGTTCACTCGTGCCTATGCAGTCTCTGTATGGAGGGCCTAAGCGGACACTGCATGAAAGAACTATGGTGCTGGAGATGCTAGGACCACAGGGGGATGTCTTGAGGAGGGCTACAGGCACGGTGGAACGGGGTCAAGAGAGCAGCTTTGTGTGTTGCAGGTACAAAGCATTCCAGATTCTAGATTTTGTCAAGCTGAAAATCAAGACTGAGCATCATAGTAGGTAAATGGATAAATGAGCCTTGACACATCTAGATAGTAGGAAATGAGCTCTCAAGTCACTGATGAGACATGGAAGCCTCAATGCTCAGTATAGACAGGAAATTCCAATCTGAAAAAGGTGCGCACTGCATGACTAGAGGATGCTGGCACTCTGGGTTCCAGTGTTTGCTAATGGTCTGAAGGAGGAAAGGATGACTAGGAAGAATACACAGGACTTCTATGGTAGTGCAGTGATTCTGTCCCAAATTATAATGGAGAATAAATGTTATTAACTAGAGACTCTAGGTGATTGTGTTAACTGTTAAAAATCCGTTGATAACAGTATGCTATATATCTATGAGGCAGGACATACATGGGAGATTTTTACCTTATCCTTGATTTTGATGTAGACCCAAAACTGTTCTAAAACATAAAATCTATCCAAGAATTTTGTTTGTTTTTGTTTTGTTTTTGAGACACGGTTTCTCTGTGTAGCCCTGGCTGTCCTGGAACTCAATCTGTAGACCAGGCTGGCCTCAAACTCATAGATCCGCCAGTTTCTTCCTCCCAAGGGCTGGGATTAAAAGCATGCACCACCACCACCCAGCCTAAAGGATTCTTATAGAAACATGCAACCCAGAAAAAGTGTTTTAACATGGATGACAGTTCTGGATCCTTGACTTGTTCCTAAGCACAGGGCCATCAGACACAAATCCCACTGAAAACCAAGCTGACTGCACTTGTATATTTGGAATCTATTTATTGTGCATAAGGCTGTCGACATCCCCACCCCAGCCCCTGAGGTAGTGCCCTGATAGTGGAGTGGAGGACTTAGTGTCTTCCACTGTGGTTCCCTCACCGGCTACTGAGTATATGACCCTATCTTCCTCACTCTCTGCCTTTGCATTAGCATTTCCCTGCAGGGCAAATGGAATCTGATCTCCATAGTTGTGGGCCTAGAATGTAACTTTGGAATAAGTCTCAGATGCTCATGGTGTCATCATATACCAGATGTCCTGCAGACTCACTGAAAGCCACAGAGCCAGCCTGCAGTTTGCTTTAGACTTAGAGAAAGTGCTTTTCTTTTCTTTTCTAAATTCCTATTTACTCATTTATGAATGTCAACACGGCTGCTTTTAAATTGCGGAGTAAAACTGACTAATTACTATAGAAACTGCATGATCCAAGAATCATAAAAAACTATCTGGTCCTTTATAAGAACAGTCTGCCCTTTATCATATTGAGGAAGAAGCTAATATACTATGTTTATGATGACACAATTTAAATTTTGTTTATATATGTGTAACCCACCAGTAGCTCAATTTGAAGTTAAGGAACATATTCTTTTGGTATTTCTATAGCTTTTTCATTGTCTATGGATCAGGAAAAAATAGATTCCCAATAGAAACAACTCTAAAAGAAACCAAAATTAAAAACACAGCAACAGCAAAACCCAAAAGAGCTCCACACAGTCTATACAGAGAAGGACGACTCCAAACGAGGAGGGTAAATTATGGGTTAACCTAGATTTTAGAGATATTATGGCATATCACTAATTTCTAAGAGATGATTCATAGGCCAGGGAAAGAGATGGGGAAGGGAACAGACAGACAGAGACAGAGATATTACCTGTGGTCTTTGATAAATCACTCTGGCATAGAAGCTGCAGCGTGCACCCTGCTCATCAGTCTGGAAAAACAAAAAACAAAACATTACAGAGTGCATAGAAGAGCAAAAGCATTTGAAGGACCTGTTAGAAACAGCTATTACCTGGAGGATTTCTCGTAGGCAGTGGACAACTGGAGGCTGGTAGAGATCAGAAATTGGGTCCCCTTCAATTGTATTGACATATCCCAGGCTCGGAGTCACAGAGAAGATATAACAGAAGGTAGGAGGAGGCAGGTGAGTGTTTATCTGTTTAGCATAAAGGAAAACACAGAGTAAGACTGTCTTGTTAAAAGATTCAGAGAATACTATTAACACAAGTTCTTTAGTATTCACACGACCAGGCTTGGCTTGATAGTGTGGGCATGGGATCTCAGTTGGGGAGGCAGAGACTCAAGGATCACAAGTTCAAGGCCTGCCTGGATCACAGGAGGACTTCACGGACAGCCTGAGCCACTTAGTGAGACCTACATAACTCAGTGGTAAAGCACTTACCTAGCAGGAGAGGCCCTAGCTTCAATTCCTAGGACCGGAACACACACAGGCACACACGCACACACACATACCTAATTTGTTTTGGGATGTTTGTTCTCATGGGAAGGCTAGATATGAAATAGTTTACTTTGTGTGTCTGGAGAACCAAGTATAAGAATATTTTTGTGCAGATTTAAGATTTTATTTTGGATTTAGTCTTCATGCCAGGCATGGTAGCATAAGCCTGAATGTCAACTCTTGGGAGGAAGAACCAGGGGTATCAGGACTTTAAGGTCATCCCAAGATACACAAGATCCAGTGTCAAAACAAAATAGAAGAAGAGGAAATCTATTCCTCAGAGTATACTCAAAGTACCATTTAGAAATTCCTTCTTGTCAGGCAGTGGTGGTGCATGCCTTTAATCCCAGCACTTGGGAGACAGATACAGGAAAATCTCTGTGAATTCGAGGCCAGCCTGGTCTACAGAGCGAATTCCAGGATAGCCAGGGTTATACAGAGAAACTCTGTCTCAAAAAAAAAAAAAAAAAGAAGGAAAGGAAGGAAGGGAGGGAGGGAGGAAGGGAGGAAGGAAGGAAGGAAGGAAGGAAGGAAGGAAGAAGGGAATTACTGCTTTTTGTTTATGGTGCAGACAGGAACTCTGAGGAACACTGCGGTCTCTGGCACAGACTCAGGTGTCATGTATAGCACTCTGCTAAAAAGCCGGCTACAGGAAGCTGAGGAGGTGGCTCAGGAGGTCATGTGCTTGCCACAAAATTCAGTTTCCCAGAACCCAGAAATGAGTCGTGGGATGGAGCACCAGTGCTTGGGGTGGAGACAGAAAAACACTGAAAACTCACTGACTGAGCAATCCAACAGAAATGATAAGCTCCAGGTTTGAGAGATATCCTCTCAAAGACACTTTGGCGTCCACATATGCCTGCTAGATGGATGCACACACACACACACACACACACACACACAGAAAAGGGGGGTGTTGAGGGAGGGAGGGAAAGGGACATGGGGGGAAGGAGGAGGGAGAGAGGGACAGAGAGAGAGGGGGAGGGAGGGAGGGAGGGAGGGAGGGAGGGAGGGAACTATAGACTAAGGCAGCTACCCTTGAACAAGCTCAGGGACAGGAGAAAAAAACCTCTTTATCCTTTTTGTTGCTTCAGAGTCACTACAATGAATAATGTGGTGAGGAAAAGGGAAATTTCTGTTGGCTATGAATTCTACCTAGTTTCTGTTCTCATTGCTAACCGAGTGTTGACTTTCTAAAAAAAGGACTGGAAAAGACATGGTGTCTGCTTCAGGATGAGGCCAAGACTCTGTCTGACTTGCAGCGATGAGGATCACACTAGGACTTGTTTGCTGAAACACAGTGATAATTCTAACACTTGCAAAGCTGGAGCAGAGGACTGCTGAGTTTAATGTCAGTGTTGGCTCTAGAGTAAGGCCTATTTTGTACTTCTCACAAAAATCTAAACACAAACCAAAATTCATCAAAAATTTAGAGGAGCAGGGAAAAGAACCATCAGAATGTTGGTGCTAGAGAGGGGCTGCAGTCTGTCCTAGATGGCATTCCTACATCATTCCAGATAAAGGAACTAGCTGCAGTTCTTGTTGCCCAAGAAAAGACAGGGCCACCTGCCTGCATGAGTTCCTAACTCAGCTCCTGACAAGCTCTCCAAGGCTGGGCTTACCTCTTCACTGGGATGGCCACAGGAAGGCTCGGCCAGAGGCATCACAGGGGGCCACATGGTATCAATTAAACTGAAGAGTCCTGGTGTCCTGAGACAAGAAGAGACACTACTGGAAGTATTCATCAACAAACACTTGCCAATAAAGTACCAGTTGGTGAGCTGTTCCTGTACTTAAAGAAGACAGCTCTTTCCACTGCGATGAACCTGCACATGGCAGGCCGTCACCGAAGTGAATGTGCAGAAAACACCTGAAGAACAGACATGCACACCTCGACCCCAGTGTGTGGAGCCTGAGGTAGGAAGGTTTGAAGTTTACAGACATCTGACTACCAACAGCAAGAAAAAACAAAACAAACATGGAACACTAAAAGACAGGACTACAGAGAGGGCTTAGTGGTTAAGAGAACCAAGCTGCTCTACCAGATGACCTGGGTTACTTTCCAGCACCTACATGGCAGCTCACTACTGTCTGTAACTCCAGTGCCAGAGGATCCAACACTCTCACACAGACATACATATGCAGGCATCAATGCATATAAAATAAAAATAAATATTACAAAAGAAAATAGTAAAAATAGCAAAAACCTTAAAATTAAGGACATAAATACCTTGCTAAATGAAAAGCAAGAAACAAATTTAAATGTCTCTATGTACTTACCGGTGACTAAAAGAAATAAGCTGTTTGGAGTGGTTAATTGAGAAGGGTTTGGAGGCAACATTTTATTTCCCTTTGGATTGTTTCAAATGTATGTATGTACGTATGTACGTATGTATGTATGTATGTATGTATACACATGCATACATGATTTATTTTATACAAATGATATATATAAATCTATAAAACATTTGTAGTTAAAATATATGCCATAAATAATTATTACTGCTATGTGTGTGCATGAAGTCTATGTGGGTACATGTGCCACAGTGCATACATTGAGGTCAGAGAATAATATTTGCTGAGTTGGTTGACTCTTTTTACAATCTTTGTGGCTGAGGTCACCAAGTTTGCATGCCAAGAACTTTTATCCACTAAGTCACTTAGCCAGCCATGATTTGTGAATTCTGAAAAAAGGTTTCGGATGGTGGCACAATCTTTTTAACCACAGCACTTGGGAGGCAGAGGCAGGAAAAACTCTGCAAGGTTCACAGCAGCCAGGGATGCACAGTGAAACCTTATATCACACATGCTACGTGTGCGTGTGTGAGCATGTGTACACGTGAATGCACGCACAGGCACTCACACAAGTGTGCACACAGAGGTTAGATTACAGCTTTCAGGAGTTAGTTTTCACTTTCCACTACGCAGGTTCCAGGAATTGAGCTTACTCAATGGCTCATTGTTTTGTTTTGAGACAGTGTCTCATGGAGCTCAGGCCGGCCTCAAACTCCAAAGGTAGCTGAGTTCTTATCCTTCTATCACAACTTCCCAAATGCATGGTTACAGGCATGCACCACCACAGCACTAATGTAGAAGTTAGAGGCCAACTTTTAGTTACCTGTCTGGGGGTGAGTGGATGCTTACTCACATCTTCCCAGGAGCAGTCTCACACAACAAAAGGCACAGAAAATATTTTCAATTATATAATAATAAGAAAATTTCTGAAATCTAGGGAAAATGGGTGTTCTTCAAAGATAAAAGGTAAACAGTACATCAAATAACAAGACCAGTAAAGTTATGAGGCTTATTGGGGTACCAGCCCCATAAGCCTCTCAGGATCCAGAAGGAACACTATAGCAAGTGCAGGGTATAGCTAAAAGTATCTGAGGGTGAAAGGAACTAATCAGCTCACACATGTCTTAGTCTCATTGTGTCTCTTTATTCTTCCAATAGTCTTCTCATCTCACAGGGTTTCCAGTGAATATACCTACACAGACACAATTAGCAATTCTCTGGCAATAGCAAGACTACCAGGCATGCATTTCTCAGGGCCAAGAAGGCTAACAAAGCAGGCGCCTGTTATCTTACTTTATGTCTCAGAGGGGGCAAGGCTATGAAACTCCCTGGCAGATGCTGGGAGGGTCAATTAAGGAGGGAGCTTTACATTAGTATAGAAGTCTAAGAGAAAAACAGGTTTTTTTGTGTGCTAAACTCACATTCTTCTTTTTCTTCAAGACAGGTTTCTCTGGCTGTCTTGGAACTAGCTCTGTAGACCAGGCTGGCCTCAAACTCTCAAGAGATCTGCCTGCTTCTGCCACCCAAATGCTATGGTTAAAGGTGTGCACTACTATAGCCCAGTGGAAATACACACTTTTTAGTAACTACTTTGAAATTCAATAGTCTCAATTCTTCCATGAAGAGACTGATATAGAAAATATGATTCTCCTTTTACCTGCTTCTAAGAAATACCTGATCATCAAAGATAGATACTATATTAGGATGAATGTTTGGGAAAAATATTCAAAGCAAATGGAACAAACATGCTTTACAATTTTAATACATGACAAAACAGACTTTAAACCAAATCTAGTCAGAAGAGATCAAGAATGTCTCTCTTTTTGATCAGGCACATCACATTCTAGAGATATAAGCATTGAGGATAGGTGAATCCAATTTCATAAAACAAATGCTGTTAGTTGTTAAATCAGAGACTAACCCCAGTTTCAATACGTTACTCTCATCAATAGACAGACCATCCAGGCAAAAATAAATAAATAAATAAGCATTGGAATTAAATGGTTTCAAAGATCAAATAGACCTGGCAGATATTCTAGAATACTCTACCCAAACACTGTATCTTACATTTTTTCTTAAGAGCCTATGAACTTTCTTTAAAACATCACACACTTGGACAAAAACTAAGTGTAATATAGGAAAACTGAAATACTGCTTGTATTTGATCTGATGACTACAGACTAGTAGCTAGAAATCAACAGCAAGAGAAGCTACATACAACGTATGGTAGAAAGTCTAAGCTCACTTTTGGGTTTGCAATTCTACCAAAACCCCACCAATTCCTGAGCTCGAAAATCCTCCAATCCCCACCCTAGAAAACTCTGTGTCCTCCCCCAAGGAACCCTAAATAAGGCTGCATCCTGCTCAGTGCCCTGCTGCTTCTCACCTGAGCAGAGGCAGCCACCCTCCCATGTTTCTCCTGATAATCTCTTGTGTGAGGTTTGTTGTGTGGTGTGACTTTGCATCCTGACTGCTGGGATACCTTACCCTTCAGAGCTGCAACAAATGCACTGGGGAAACCATCCCCTTCAAAGCTGAAACACCCCTATTGGGGAAGCCTTTCCCCTCACAGCTGTCATATTTACACAAACATACTTAGGGAGATTAAACCACACATCATTGAGTGATGAAGTGTGTCTTTAAAGAAATCAAGAAGGTAAAAAAAAAAAAAGAAAAGGTTCCAGATCCAAATGAAAATACAATATATCAAAGTCTATGAGATATAATAACAGCAGTCTTGAAAGGGGGAATTTATAGTTTCTAAGTGCCTGCATTAAAAAATCTGAAAGGGATCAAATAATTTAATGATGCATCTTAAGACACTGGGAATACCGCCCCCCAAAACCCCTCAAAAACCCAAAGCAGTAGATGGGCACAAATAATTAAGGTAACGAAAGTACACATACATTTTTATTTAAAATTACAGAAATAATGTGAAAGGAAAACATATACTTACTATAAAATAAACAGAGCTCTTTTCCTCACCCATAACATTTAGCAAGAAAAATATGTTTTACTCTGAAAGGTCACAGTAGCTTTGACATTACAAATCAGAAAATGTAAGTTGCACTATGAACACATTATTAAAGACCGTGTTGCGGCCCCTGGAGCTGGAGTTACAGTCTGTGTGAACTACCTTATGTGGGTGCTGGGAACTGAACTCTGCTCCTCCTCAAGAGCAGGAAGTGCTTTTTATCTGAGCCATCTATGAGCAGAAACTAATGAACAGAAACAAAGAAACAATAACAAACAATAATACAAAGAATTAGTAAAAACAAAGGGCTAGTTCTTGAAAAAGATAAGCAAGGTTGAAAACACCAGCCAAATTAACCAAAAGGAAGAGAAAACAAAAATTAATAAAATTAGAGATAATAAGGGAGATATTACAACAGATATCAAAGAAAATCTATTGTAAAACACCTTTGCTCCACAATACTGGAAACATAAAAGAGACAAATATATTTCTGGATGAACAAGACTCATAAAAGACAAACAACAACGAGAAAACAACTTATACAGACCTTTAAGAAGCAGTTATAAATTAAATCAGTAATAAATAAAAATTACCACAACTAAAGGAAATAGATTGACTACAAACCTTTAAAGAACTGTCTTTGTTACTGTTTCTAGATCTGTTTGTATTTCTCAATGTCCACCCCCACAGTGACACACTTCCTCTAACAAGGCCACACCTTTCAAACCACCACAAGAATAGCACCAATATTTTTAATTAATTTGTAGAAAATCAAAGAAGGCAGTTCAGTCCTTCTCCGTGAGCTGAAGAGGAATGCCACAGTAGACAATATCAAAGGGGAGTACTAGAAACACAGAAATACAAGAGAAATAACTGCGGGCTCCGCTTCATGGACATTGAAACAATGCCAAAACAGAATTTACAGAGTATTATTATGGTGTTCATTTTTACACAGGATCTTGAGATGCAGCCCAGGCTAGCCTCAAACTCATGTCTATCCCCTTGCCTCAGCCTCCCTAGCACTGGAATTAAGGTATGAGTAGCCACACCCAGTCAGATTTTTAAACAACATAGCAAATAAGTAGCTACTTCAGTCTCATAAAAACACTCTGTAAATTGGGAGCATGGGGAGAGGGGAGAGAAAGTTAGAAGAGGAGGGGAGAGGAGGACAGGAGAGAGCAGGAAGATCGATCAAGACAGGGGAAGAATAGGCGAGAGCAAGAAAAGATACCTTAATAGAGTGAGCCATTATAGGTTTAAAGAGAAATCTGGCACTAGGGAAATGTCCAGAGATCTACAAGGTTAACCCCAACTAACAATCTAAGCAATAGTGGAGATGCTACCTTAAATGCCCTTCTCCAATAATGAGATTGATGACTACCTTGTATGCCATCCTAGAGTCTTCATCCAGTAGCTGATGGAAGCAGACACCCACGGCTAA